GTGTGATGTTGGAAAGTGCATGCTGGGAAGGAAAAAGAGGAATGTGTTTCTGCAGCGATGGAGTTGCAGCTCCACCCGAATGACAGAAAGTAATCCCTCCGCGCTGCGTGCGTCTATCCTCTTCACGGAGTTGACAAAATACTGACCATATATTCATGAGCCTAATCCCCAACATGAGAAACGCGCGACAAAGGCGAAGGGCTTTTCAATTAGATCGCCCACTTTATCTGGGGGGTGAGGAGAGAGGGAGGGGGGCGTCACAAAACTTCCTTTAAACCCCCTTTAAAGGCGCTAAATTGGTCTTAACATCTGTAAAACCATGTCGATGGAAGCGAGTCCCCTTTGTCATTAATGAAGTAACAAACCACTTCATCAAACGGCTTTCACACACACACACCTCATCGAGTTAATACCCCTAAATCCCTCCCTCCCCTCCTCCATTGGATCTAATGCAGGACTATTACAGCAATCAATGCGTATTCTCCTCCGTTTGACCCATCTTTGGTGCCAGAGCGAATCGCGTGAAATTACCCCGCGGATTAATGTAGTTCCTTCTTTTTATTGTGTGCATCTGTGAAGCCTCTTCTTTATTCATCCGCAGCTCTTGTTTTACAGGTCTGCAGGTCAGACACCTGTTAATCACTCAATTTAGCGCCAACAAGCGGGCATTACATCCCATAAGGGACATTTCTGCACATGCCTCACACAAAGTCACACCTGCTAAATGAAGCAGAATGCAAAAAAAAAAGCAGGAAGAGGAAAAAATAATATAAAAACAATTTTCTCCTGTGAGCTCCATGTGTTTTTATTCCTTTGGTGAAGCGCACTGAGGCGTGTGTGTCTCTCCCCTTTAGGCTTTAGATGAGATTGTCCGGGGGAGTTGTAATCTTATTGTGAATATAACTAATGAATGGCAAACCAATTTGTCCCTAATATCTGGGGAATGCTGGGAGGCGGGTGACCTGCTGGGCGCGAGGCTTAAACTTTCTTTGCAGCGCAAAAAGGCGAGAAAATTGAAATGCTGTCGCGGGGCAATGGCTGCGGATTTATAAAGTCACACTTGTTGGATGTGTGCTCTTTCATTCAAGACAGGCCTGCACTTGGGATTAGACCGTGAGGCTTTCTTGTTGCATGAATGATCCTGATAATGAATGTTGATGGATGAATACAGTCCAATCATGCGGCGTTTTCTAGTAAATTGCGAAAAGAAGAAAATGATTTGGGTGGATTGAGCAGGGCCGTAACGCGCCTCGTGTAGGTTAATCCAGGTGTCCAGGAAATGTCTGACTTCCCATTTCCATCACCGCCTCCACCCCCCTTCCCCCGGACTTGATTTGGCCCATGATTTGGATTCTCCCGGGCCTCGTTTCTCCCACCACGACCCTTCCTGAGAGAATAGGCCCAATCACTCCACCGCCTCGGCCGGATCAGTCCTCACTCAGTCCCCGGGAGAGGAGCTCTAAAAGGCGCTTTGATGAACAGCCCCCCCCCCCCGTCCTCCTCACCTCTCCCCCCTCAGAAAGAGCTGAATAGCCGGGCCATGGCACTGCGCTCCCCTCTCGGATCGCCCCTTAATTCCCCGTCTCTCTTGCTCTCATCCAATTAGCTCAGTGTATTAAGCGGTTTATCGTCTCATAACCGGCCTTTCAGCTCCAACAAGGGAGACACTTTGCAATAGGACCGGCTCTCCTTTTGACACCTCTCGGCTCCTGTATGTTCCCCCAGCTATGAATAACTGCAGCAGAATGGAGGACTAATTCCCTCATCAAAGCAGGGCTTGTCCATCGCTGGTCAAAACGACAAGCAATAAAGCTTAACGCCACAATACAAAGAGACTTGTTCGACCTTATTAGCTTAGCTGGGTCGAATTAATGCAGGGATTCAGTTTGATGGGTTTGCTCCAAACTGGGAGGACAAAACGGGGCCTCACTTAAAAAGCTGCATGAGGGATGGAGGAGGGCTGTAACTTCAGGGAGAAGGAGCAAAACAACAGGGCAGAAATACATTTAACTTGAGTAAAAGCACCAACGTGTAGCCATCAAAATACACCTAAAGTTACAAAAGTGAAAGTCCTGATTCTGCACTTTGATTTGATTTGAATCCATGATACAAGTATGCATCCTTAATGTTGCAGCTGCTATAAGATTAGCTTTTGGGAACTATATTTTAGCCTGTACCTCTTGCAAAGGAATCAATAAAGCTTTAGCCTAATTCATGATTTGTTGGTTGTATTTTGAGTAACTAATCTGAGTCTTCAAAGTATACAAAGTTAATAAATACATGAGTAAAACAAATATGTTTTGCCTCTGATATAGAAATACCTTTAAAGAAACACTCAAGTAAAGTACCTCAAGTTAGTGCAAAAATACAACTTTTACTAAAAAGTGGAAAAGCATTAGTATCAAAGTCCTTTTTTTGCGTAAATCCCATAGTACAATATTTATGAATGACTGATGCATTTATATATTAATAAAGTTGTAGAAGCTAAAGTTACAGCTTTTTATAGATCAGGGTTCATACACTTTTTCACCAATGATTTTCAATGACTTCTCCAGGACCTTTACCTTTTTCCATGACCAATAAAATAACTCTTTCTCAGCGGTACCACTGAAAATGGTTTATTTGAACATGGAACAGGAAAATAAGGTCTGCATATGAAACATGTCGTGCCTATCTAATACAAATCCAATAGTAGGCTAGCTTCTACTAAAGCAACTCAAATCTCTCACCAGCAAAACACCTCGTCAGTTAAAAGCCATTTTATGTTTCATTACTAAACGATACAGTATTTATCATCGTTATAGTATTACTATTTCGGTGATTAGATCAAATATAAATTATATTTGATGCAACTTTAGTTACATTTCCATGACTTTTCCAAAATTTTGGGAAAAATATTGTTTTCCAGGCCCTGGAATTAGCATTTTGAATTTCCATGACTTTTCCAGGTTTTTAATGAACCCTGAAAGATATCATTACTGCCACATCGCTTGTAAATTCCACCTAGGCGTCAATAAAGTTTTATTTAACCTATACTAATGAAATTGTTGATTGTATTAATAATCTGAACACAAGGTAATTAAAGCAATCAAAACAATGTAGTGGAGTTAAAAGAACATTAGCCTCTGGATTAAAGCTTCAGAAAACAGAAATACTCACTCGCTAAAGTACTTTTAAAAGTATGCTCAGGTGAGAACATGCACTCATAGCTGCAGGTCTGCACATCAGCTGCAGGTGATTACATCCCAAATGTGTCAAAGTGTAGGAGAAGGAGCGTTGCTGATATGATTGAATAAATATGTAAAGTTATGAGGCTGGAAATGCACTTTCTCACACACAGCATGCTCTATCCATTGCATAGTGAATCATGGTTTAAGTGTTCAGCCCACTTAAGGTTGCCTTCACAAGTCACAGTGGTTTCAAGTGATTTGTGAGGCGTGCAGTGTTTATGGAAATGCACGCTACAGGATGGAGTAAAAAATCCCTGCACTGTATTAACACAGAGAGTTCTGTGGTGGGAATGGTGAAACACTTCAGGAAGCGAGTGACTGAGCGTTAATACGGCGGGGAATGCATACATCATTTAGAGAGCTGGTTCAATGTATCAAACAATGCAGATGGGTTTATGAAGCCATTGAGTCCTGTTACTAATCTTGGCAACAAACACTGTTTTAGCCAAAAGCAAATATTCCTACTGTTATTTTATTAATTATCTAATATATTGTTATACTGCAATGGAAAACTACAAATACCAAACGCAGATTTTTATCTAAATTCTTCACTCCAGTCAAGAAATAATACAAATCCTATTAGAAATGACCAGTTTATTAAACGTAAAAGTCACAAAAATCCTGTTCCCATATCAAATATTTGTATTTATCACCAATTAATAGCATAAAGAACACATTTTGTGCATATTTTAATACTTACTTACGACTTCTCCGACTGTCCGGCCGCAAAGCCCATGCATTCGCTTTTTCCTGAAATAGAAAATACAAAGTTTAAATTGTTATAAGTGAAATCGGCTGTAGTTTTTTAGCAAATGGTGCTCAAACAGCAGTAAACCGTGCATTTGGTGGGGACTATTTTCAGCTGCGGAGTAATACTCGATGATGTGAGTTGCGGTGGGACAAACTCATGTTTTTAAGAAAGAAACATGTCACATGGTGTTTCTGTTTTATAGATGTTGGACAATAAGAAGAATGAACATGTACTGTACCTGGCTGGTTTTGGTCTTTTCTTGAAGTTTGTAAAAACTAAATATCTGGAGACTTTATCCTTTAAATATGGGGGCAAAAGGAACTTTCGATTGAGGTAAAAAACAGGAGATTTAAGTGGAAACCGGCAACACGAAGACGCTAAAGGACATCCATCGGACCGAATACGTCACACAATAACACAACAATAACATCTGATCCATTCAGCTTTTTTTATTAACGTTTCAATATCAAAAATCTTGGACAATACAAAAAAATCATTACATACATCCACCTGAGCAATGCAAGTGGGATACATCGAAAAATACAGGCATTAAAACACAATCTGCACAAAGAGGAGAAGTGAGAGGGATGAAATGGCTTCACTTAAACAGAGGCAGCGGAGGAGGAGGAGGAGAAGATCAGCCGTTCGATACGGAGACAAAAGAGCCAGGGAGTGTGTGTGGCCTCCATCACCCCTGCATCCTCTGATCTCACACACACACACACACACGGGATGAATGGTGGTAATCAGAACAAGTGTCCGATCGCTGCAGGCCTCCAGCGGTTTTTACAGGCCGGGGTCACTATCATTGGCTAATTAGCGTCTTCTGGAGGATACTGGCTGCTCTGAGAAGAAGTCCACACACACACACACACACACACACACACACACACACACACACACACACACACACACACACACACACACACACACACACACACACACACACACACACACACACACACACACACACACACACACACACACACACACACACACACACACACACACACACACACACACACACACACACACACACACACACACACACACACACACACACACACACACACACACACACACACACACACACACACACACACACACACACACACACACACACACACACAATAGATGTCATTTAGGTATGATTGCTACTCCCCTTTATCATACAGCGTCAGGGAGATGGGGTCAAGTCACGAGTGTCCGTGTGGAGCAGGTGTGATTGGGTTTTGAAGTCTAATAATAAGCCCATTTAGTTCAGAGAAGATGATATGAGGGTCAAGAGGTCAAAGCCTAAAATCACCAATATATTCGAAAACCAAAACCAGGAATAAAACCGTTGAGCAGAAGACCGATGGATCAGTAGATGGAAATAAATCGGCACATTTTCTGGTAATCGATTATTCTACTTTTTGTTCCATACATGTCAGAAAATGCTGTTTTCAGCCCCGGATATTTACAGATTTACTGGATTTATATCATTAAAGTGAACATTAGGACTTTAAAAAGGACATCATCTTGAAACTCAGATGAATATTTGTACATGTTTCACACAGTTAATATCTAGAAGATAATCTACAGATGAATCGATGAACAAAATATTGTGATCTGCAACTTCAGTAGACAAATCGATGAGGATCAACAACACCAACATATTTGGATAACCCAACAATCCTAAGTTGTTTTTCATGCAAAAAGGGCATAAAAGTTCA